AGAAATCAAAGAAAAGAAATATATTTACTATAACGATAATAACTCAGATTTCTCAGAAATTAGAGATTTGTGATCGTTATGACATCAGTCCATGTGACGATGCAAATCTCCTTTCACATAATGTTAACAATTAATACCATATTTACTTACAAATCAAATATTGAAAATATTCAAAATATCAGATTTAGCTACCATATACAAGTATTATAATTAAAACTAATAATAATATAAAAAAATTATATCTAATAGCTTTAATAAACTTATTGTGATTTAAATAGCTAATCTCTTGTCACTTCTTACCTAATGCATGTTGATAGTCATGCAAGGGTTATTATTATAAAGATTATCCTACATGTGACTTTTGTAGTACAGATATTGATATTTATGGAATGATATAATGATAAGATCACTAGTGCTTGTTTTCTTTACTGCCCAATTCTTATCTGGCTTTTCATGAAAACTATCTTCAAGTTCTAATGACTAATGCAAATATATCAAAAACAGACCTCGAAAATGTTTGTCAAGCCCTTGATATCGCTACTGACGAAGTAAAAGCTGACCTAATTTAGAGCTTGAGAAAGCACCTAAAAGGAAAAACCCGTGCTGAAAGCAATAACACTGAACTATCCTGTAGAAACAAAGAGAAAGGTCCAAACATAATGGATTATAATCACCTCTTAGATATATCAGAAATAAATTTGAATCAGCAAGCAAGAACTTTAAGAGAACTGGCATACCTGTCACAAAAAGGAGCAGAACCACGAGACTCCTTAGTTAAAGAACAATCACTGAGTCTTGAAAATGACAAACTGGAACCTAGATAAAATTTACTAAATAAAAAACGTCGCCTACCAAATGATATGAATTGTGAATCGACGGAAAGTAAAATATTAACAGAATTTAAGCGATTAGAAAGTGCTGTATTAAGTAATGAATAATAAGTTAAATATTGTAATGGCACAAATACATGATACAAAACAAAAATTTGAAGTAAATAAAACTTGGCAGAAACATAAGTTTGAAAAATCATGTGATCAACATGAATATGATGCCTTATGAAAAATCAGCAAAGAATTGGACCTAGAAATAGAATCTTGCAATATGATGGAAGTGGTGGATCATATAAAGAATACACAAGAAATAGCGTCCAATCGTATATTTTCACTAAGAGTAGCTGAAGGATATGGCTAGGATATTATATCTGCCTTGCCTGATATGCAAAATGATTAGATAAAGGGGAGGTATTTGTTAATTGAAAAAGTGAAGACATTAGTGAAAATAAAAAAGGTAAAGTGACAAAAAACATATGAACTACCAAAAACAAACAATCATACCCATTGGGAAAACAATTATCAGGATTTATAAAAGTTTTTTCGAGCCAACCAGAGAAGCAAAAACAATAATCCAAACTCCAGCAAGTGCTATATCTGTAAAGGATATGGACATTATGTGAGTGAATACCTATTAGACTCGAATAAAGACAATTACAAGTACTGAACCTACTATTCACGAGAATATACTTTCTATAAGATCAAATATAATAGAAGCTACAACAATGGAGACAATGAGAACAGAAAGCATAATTGACTACACTCAGGCACAATATCACATACCAGTAACTGGAAGCTTGCACATGAAACAACACGCAAATTACGGGAAGACAAAAATACAGGCATTAGAACTAATAGTAAACTGGTTGGAAAATAGTATTCTCTTATTTCCAAAAGGGCTATTAGTACTGGCAAACCAACCAAATCCTTTACACTATTCTTTAACCAAAGAACAAGATGTTTGATTAAAAACAGAAATACAAAGATTAATAGAAATAAAAGCAATTACCTTAATTTCATCAATGAAAACACGTTCAACAATATTACTGGAAGTTAGCTCTATATTTTTAATACTAAAAAAGAGTTACAAGAAATAGAAATTAGTAATCGATCTCAGATGTTTAAATGCAACATTACCAGAGAAAACATTCAAATTTGAGAGATTTGAAACATTTCTTCGAATAATTGGCAAAAACTGGTGAATAATCATATTAGACCTAAAAGAGGAATATCATCATATGGGTAATTATTTTTGAAGATGAACCAAAAATTTTCAGGATATAAATTTACTACCCATAATTTAAAATTCAAAATTATAAAATTTATAATTTATAATACAAATCTTAAAATAAATTAATATAATAATATATTTTTTAATTTTTTTAATAATCACATTATTAAAAAAAACTCTTTCCCAAAAATTCTCCGTTGCCTAAAAATTTCCATTTTTAGTAACTGACAAAATTATTAGGAGAAGCAAGGCAACAAATGCCCTTGGGAGCTTCTCTCCTAAGGGCAAACCACCCAACTCATCCCACATCCTCTTGGATATTGTAGTAACAAATCCTGATGACCACCTTTTCTCTGTAGTATACAAGGAGAGCAATTCAAATAACATCCAAATTACCGAACCAGCGAAAAATGTCTCTATTCCACCTTTAACTGACTTTCCCAAGTTCTGGTTTGTTTCACTTCATAACCCAAATAATAACAACTTTCCACAAGTAGATATCGCTTTTATTAACTTCAAGCAAGTAGCAATCAACCCCAATACTTCTTAACCACACATTTTAGCCTCAATCTCTATTAACAACCGCAAAAGCAACACCCAAAACAACTTGAATGAATTCTTTCAATATCAGGAGAGAAATAACCTAGCTCCAAACATAAGGGAAACCATTGTAAGGAGAGTCCTAGACAACAATCTCAACTATACCTTGCACCTTTCCTAAAATCAAATTAACATTGTTAAAAGTGACAAAAAATTCAGCCTAGAAGAAATACAAAATGCACCAACTCATACACCACCTAACACTCCAGTTCAAGATGAAGAAACGATACCTGACAAACAAAACTCTGGTGAAAATCTTGAAGGAAAAAATTGCCATCCCAAATTTCAAAAAAAACCCCAAGCAGCTTATCCCCTCCTATTGATCTACAGAACACGAGCAATCCTAAAATAACAAAATTGGCAGTAACACATGTGCATTCCCTGTGGCACAGGAAGGAGCAGGCACAAATGACACAACAGGCCATATTATACCAACAATCAACGTCTCGCATAATTTAGGTGATATGATGCAAGTGGATGATTACCACCATGCAGTCACCACAGACAACCAACATGACAAATCTGGAAGTACTATCAGACCAACTAGTCCTTGTTCTGACAATGACATATCAATGGAATTATTGGACGATACAAATCTCATTGGTAATACAAGCTCTCTCATAGAATTCGACTGTCAAGTACAAGAGGAACTAAACATTTTACAAAAGAAACACCCCCTGCCTACACAAATGAGCAAAACCCAACACCTGAGCAAATCAAAGTAAACAAGATACTAGACGAGGCTGAAATCGGCTAGCCAACTGACTAATTAAGCATAAATAAAGCTTTCGAAAACTCATTCAACTCCTCAACAACAAAAAACGTAACAGTAAATGCACAAGTAACACTACTCTCATACAGTAGAGAAAACAGGATTGCAGAAATTCTGTCAGAAAGTAGTCAACCAATAGATAGTCCACCAACCA